TTTTTTTTTTTTTTTTTTTTTTTTTCTTCTTTTTCCCCCCCCCCCCCCCTCCCAGTTCCACCCCCACCCCAAACTGAAGTTAAAGATCTGTAACACTCCAAATACTCCTCCTCCCAGTTTTTAAACATATACATTGCATCTGTTCCCTCCGACGCCCACACACCCCTTAGCATTTTGGAATCTCACCAGTCTTCCACAAGTTTTCAAAGACAACTGATAATGATTCCAAGATTGCTTCAGACAGCCTTTAAGTACCAAGAGTAAGGTTAGTCAGAACTAGATGAACTAAAACATCTAACTCTGTGTAGTCCATTCTAATTTGAATTCTTACTGCAGTTCTCACTGTTAGCTGTGTAGACCATCAGATGTAACTGGCCCTTTAACTGAAGAGAAATGTAAAACGTTATCGGATTCTTCAGGCCTGTTCAGTGTTCCACCAAAGAAAAAAAGTGTTTCTAATTTACTGTTCTCCTCCCTTTCTTCACAAATGCCTAGATCATTTTATTAGCACAAACTACTACTGGTTCCAATTCTCATTTTTAGATACTGTAATTTATGGGGAGCTGATATCTTATAAACACATGCCTCTCTCCTGTCTAAAAAGACAAAAATAACTTACTGAAATTCAATTGTACTAAAAAGGAATGTATTTCCCTGTCATGCCACTCTGTGCTCAATAATGTGCTTCTAGAAGGTGCTGCTAAAAAAAACTTTAGAATTCTTCTATTGTAGCTGGCCCTTGGCCTACCAGTGCATTTTCACTGAGGGGGTAAAAACAGTGAAGAAATTAACTAAGAAATAATGTTAATTTTATTTAATTTTAAACCAAAGTTTCCTATGGAGTTACTGACTATACATGAGGCAGGAAATAATGAGAATGACTAGTCTGCAATTATATTCCATTAGAGAAATCAGTATGTTTAGAAAAATCCTACTGCACAGGAAAAAATCTCTACTGAAAACACTTACTTGCTGAGGCATCCCAAAACTTGATTGACCCATCAGCATGCCTATGAAATATTAAAAAATTAATAAGATGGTAAAACGGTTAGTTGGAGTGTTAGACCTCTTTGCTACTGATTAGAAAATATATGGCTAACATTCTATTTTTATTAGTATTCTTAGTGACACTTTATTTTCACAATTTATTGGAAGCCGTATTTCACAAACATGTGCCCCAATTATTTTTAGACAGAAGAGATTAAAAAAAAACATTTGGAGGCTAACTCCCTGAAATTCCACTGTACTAATATTAATTTATCATTTTAAATACTGACTTCAGTTACCTGAATTTCCCATAAGCAGTTTGGTATACCTTACCATGTGTTGTTTCTTAAAAGATGCCCTTTATTTGGAGCAACACTTGTAAAAGAGATGCCTAAATATACTGTATTTCAGTATAAATGAGTCACCTAACTTGCTTATTTATCCTTGAAATTGAGAATCGGATGACTAGATTTTTTACAGGATGTCTCTCAAAGCCTCTGCAACATGTAGTATAAAGTGACAGTAATCCTCATTAGGGCTAATGAGCTGTTTGAAAAAAAACCTTTAGGTAGCGCTCTCACTTTCAGTGATGCACTGCACGGTTATAAATTAAATTTTATTTATGCTCCTCAGAGTAGTATTAGAAGGATCAGTCTCAAAAGAGATCAAAATGAACAGATTTAAGTATTGGGTTGTCCTTTTTAAAATAAAAAACTTGGCTTCCCTTTGAGAACTGAACTCAATAACTATTTAATGGACTTCCTATGCTTTAAAACACTACTTAAATATTTTCCAATAGTTAAAGAATAAAAGATAAGTTTCATACAGCATATTTTGACAGCAAGCAGACAATCACAATACCACATCATAATAATAATCCCTGTAAAACACCTGCTATCATTTTGTTCCTACCTTCTCTTCCACATTTTGCTTTACTTTCTTGTTAATGCCTCAAGAAAAGTATGCAAATGACTTGTCTGGTAAACATAATTCCTTAAATTATTCAAATCACTGTCAGAACATTGTTTTCTATAAGAGGAACAAAACATTCTCACTTCTACTTAATCAGCTAAGAAAGATATCACTATACTATGGTGTTACTTACCCTGTAATAATTATCTCTGGATAGCTCTGAGTGATCAAACCCCAGTTGCCTCCACTGATAGGCCATTCCTGGAAGATTAACAAATACACTGAGGAAGAAAATATCATACAGTGCAAAGTTAAGCCATTGAAATTAGTGCAGATACTGCAGATTCCAGTATTTCACATGACTTCAAAAAGTAATTGGACATGTCCATTGCAGCGGGGGGAAATCAACAAGGGCTATAAACAACACCCCTGGCCTGGCTCCAGGAAGTCTCTTAGCTTCCAGTGATATGGCCATCAATAGGAGCGTATCAGGAAAGCATAACTATAGGCTTCACATATGCTATATCCTCTCTAGACATCTGCTGTTAGCCACTGCCAGAGACACGATAATGAGTCAGATGGAGCTTTGGTCTTAGTATGGCCACTCTTATGTTGTTTAGAGCTGTTGATCTTCAGTATTTTCAAATACGTATGTATGTACTAGATGTTGTACCTTCTTACTGTAACCTTGACGTTTCTGTCGAGCGCCAACTGAATAGAGTGCAGGTATGAGGTCCACAGGACAATCGGCAAAATATTCACAACACGTAACCGGAGATTCATGTATAGTCAAAGGATAGGGATTCTCAAATATAGGGTACCTTTAATGGATGAAAGGGGAAGACTGTTAATCTAGGAAAAACTTTTTTCTTTTAAATGCAGAACAAGTAAAACACTGAAGACTAAGTTTGCATTCTTTTCGTATAGAGGAAAATAAATGCATATCAAATGAGATTATGAACAAATATACTATGCAACTTCACTGCTCATCCAGTACACTGTGAAGATACTGTAGTGCTCTAGATGGAACCTGAAGTTTGTACTGTTTCTAGAATATTTATAGAACACTGCTACTGCCTATAGTTTTGTATTTTTGCAAGCTTATTATTTTAATGGCCTGCAGAAAAACTGAAATTACCAAGTCCTAATTGTAGTAATGTGGAGCTATGAATTTATTTCTAACTCTTCAGTCTATTCTTTCAGGGAGAAAGATAGGAAGACTCCACTTCTCACTTTGTATTATTAAACTGTTCATAGACAAAGTTGTTCAACACTTCATAACCTACTTGCAACTCCAAGAGCACTTTCTGAAAGTTTATAGATAGCAACACTCGGTTACCAACTAGAAGCAAACACACACACACTCCACACCACCACCTCCATTATAAAAGTGAGAGCCTTAACGAAGAAAAAAGCCAATAATAATAAAGAGGTAAATATATCTGTGTTCAAAACACACTTATCTCCAGAGAAATGCATACTATGCATATGCTTTTTTCTTTTTGCCCCCCCTTTTTTTTTTTTTGAGAGAGAGGCGAAAAAGGACACAGCTTCTCAATCCATATAAAGGAAAAATTAGCAACAACAGATGAAAACATTCTGCATACCAACAACTTTACACAGAGCTATCTGGAATACTAAAACAATCCTCTAAAAATTTAATGAAAGAGGCTTAATTTTAACAAAATATGATAAACCCATATGACAACACAGGGCAAAAGAAAACCTCCCATAACAAAAATCTATTAATTCTGTTGCTTTTTTCAGGTGTGAAACAATTAATACTTTGCAAGTCAATCAAAAAGGACTATAAGCCTTTTTAAAACATAACTACTGAAGATTTTTTGACATGAAATGGAACAAGCTTTAACATAAAGTTCAAATTTCAGACACTAAACTATTTCACTTAAGAAAAAAGCCTTGTACAAACCTTTTTATTTCAAGCTCATTAAAACTTGTTTTATTAATCTTTCAACATATGAATGTTGAAAGCTTAATGCCATTGGTATATCAGAAACAAGTTTTGGATACAGCATATGGCCATGTAACATTGGGAAAATCTAAATGAAATTGCTCATTAGCTGCAGAGATATTGGGACTAAACTTGACCTTCTTCCAAATTCGATAGTCTTCATTATCTAAGGTATCACCATTGACTTTGAGGATATATATTCACAGGTTTGTTTTGCCCTAGAAGCATGTTCTTCACAAGGATTTTTCTTCATTGACCATTGGTGACTTTTAATCAGGAACACTAGAAAGATCATCTCCGTCAGGTTCCTCTGCTACTAATCCCTTAGTAGTTAGTTGTTACTGCCTATACTAATTTCAAAACCCTTGATAAAAAAGTTTGCAGGATCCAGAATTTTTAATCACCATCTAATAGAGTATACAGACTGTTCCATGGACAAAGTAACAAGAGATTAAAAATGTGTTAGGCAAGTTTTAGTCATGAAAACTGTAATAGGATACTACTTTTAAGCAACCTCTTACGACAACAGTCAACTAGGGACTAGATGTTACCATTCTAATTTTATGTATATATGATATGATATTTATTGCATCAGCATTGAGTTACTTAAAACAATACAGACAGCAATTCATTTGGCAATAAAATCAGCATATATTTATGTGATAACAACACCACTCAGTGTCAGCCAAGATTAGCTGGCTTATCTGAACAGTTCTTCCCCCTGCTCCCTTCCCCAAAATTCCAACCTCCCCTCATAGCACTAAGGGATCAACTTAGAAATAAACTGTGATAATTAAAAAGCAGCAGTGATCCGAGTAGTTTCTGTCATTCAATCAAATCTGGAAAAAGTCACATAATATTCTACTCGTCTTCTAAATATTAATTTGAGAAAAGTTGATCTATAAAGATTCTCAGTTCTGCTGAAGAAACCTTATATTTCATATTCAAAATTTTATGTTCTGGACAGGGAGGTATTATGGTAGATTAAAAAGTTATAGAGGAGAACAACAGGCTGACCACTGCAGCCAGCCATTAAAAAGACTACATAAGATTCTTACCCATTTTGTGCAAGGTCAATCAGTACTAAGTCCTTTTCTAGGAGAACAACTACAGCATATGGTTCCTGAAAGTCTGAAAACAAGAAAGAAAAAAGTTACTTATTAGTAAATGTAGTTCTTGCATGCACAGCCTCAAGCACGTGATCAGTCCTTGCACTCTATCAGTCGAGAGTAGAAGAGCCACTTAGATGACTATACAGTTTCTGAAGATATTTTATACACTCAACCCCCTGAATGCTCCAAGTTAAGTTTGGAAAAGCCACACTCTCCCTTTAATTCAATATTGTCAACACTTCCAATTTGCTAGAACCATTTAAACAGCTCAAATAACAGGAAAAGGAACATGCAGAGGAACTTGTATAAGCAGTATTTTTGAGAAAGAGCCAATTACTGAACAATAACACCCTCCCACCCCCAAACTACTTTTCCTCCTATTCAGTGGGGTTTAAATTCTACTTTCTCACAGAATGGATTGAAAGACAGCCGACTTGACACTAAAATAAGAAAACAAAGAGTTTCCAAAGTTTATCTTGCCCTCTTTCAGGCAGACCTCAAATTCTGAGCTAAGCAGTTTTATATACTCTGATATAAGTTGACAGCTAAAATCACTGGAGTCATCAGAAATATAATGCTATTAGTCTAGGACAACTACTTAAACTATGATAAAAAAAATCCCCTTCTGAAGAAGAGAGATTACTGGTTAGTGATGAACTTCATGTGAATATTGGAATGAATAAAGTCACTAAAAGTTAAGAGTACTACACAAATGCTAATCAAGATTTAGCATTGACTGGAAAGGTCTTATGTGCTCAAATAAATATTGATGAACACATCTGCTGCAGTAACTACAGCTTAAAATTGTAATGCTACTTTTTGTCCGCACATGCTTTTGGGATTAAAAAAGAAGGAAAAACCATGCAACCAGTAATCGGCATTCTTCTAGAAGCAAAACAGGTTTCATAATGAACTATTCTATTATGATACTTTGGGAAGCAGAATAGACTTCATACAATAGGGATAACAGATGTTACTGCTGCAGTATGATCCCCAGAGATACAACAGAAAGGCAATAGTAAAGAATATTCTGATGGGATAAAACTCTAGAAAGAAAAGGTTGAAGTACTGAGAAAAGTCTTTACAGAGCCTACCATTAGGATATGGTGTTTCACAGAGGGTTAGAAAGTCAACAATAGAATAATCCATTTCTAGCACAGCAGTACTTTTCCCATGCATAACTGTTAAACAGGGTCTTCTTCCTACAGTGTCATATGATAAGCCTCCTGAGAGAATGATGAAAGGCTCCCTGGAATAAAGCAGAGGCATTTAGGATCAAGACAAGATAGATAGTATGTAAAAAGAAATTGGGCAGTTTTTGTAATTTTATAATAAAGTTCAATGAGTATAATTAAGCAGGAAGACATTAAGAATAATGCAAACCAGCTCCCCATGCAATGTGTAGCTTGGGTACGCATTTCAAAACTTAAAAACCAAGAGTTAGAAGACTACAACTCAAGTCAGACATTTCTTCCAAATCTTTTATTCTATATTGCTTATTTAAACCATCTTTGCAACTGTTTGCCAAGATGAGATTTTTCTAATGTTGTTGAACTTTAGAATTGTTTCTTTTCTACTGAACTGCAGATTTGGATTTGCCAACAGCCCATCATATAAAATATTCCAGCAGGATCAGGAAGAACTAGTCCCATTTACTTCCTGTACAGAATTACCCTAAATTTTGGAGGATGAACAATTTTGCAAACATTGTAAAATAAATTTTTCAGTCACAATAATATGACTGTCTTGGAGAAACAACCAGCTGCTCAGTAAGCTTCAAAGACCTAACATCTTTTAAGAAGCAAGGACATAAATAAATGCACATAGTTCTCTAATCACACATTTACTCTAGATGTTTTATCCATTCCCC